GAAAGAACACTGAAGGCAAGTATATACTCTGGATGATTTTGGAGGCTAAAGTGAGTACTTGGCCCTTTTGTACAAAATCCCTCAAAAATGTAAATTATTTATGTCTGGTATTACAATTAAACTCACTTCAAAAGGAATATTTGAGAAATAAGACATAAAGAGTATCGTAGGGGGGCTACGGTTGCGGACAACCAATCTCCTTAATATATTAACTCTTATGTATAAACCCATTAATATATTAACTCTATGATGAACAGTAAGAGTCAGGAAATGGAAGCTTTCACATAATGCTGAATTAACTACTGCTATTTAAACTCTTGATACAAATGTTTATCTTATATACTACTCTAGTTTATTATCAACATGGCTACCAATTTTTTCACCTAACTGCTACAACAGCCTCAAATCACAGCAAAGAGAAAAAAAAAATTAAACTGTCAGTGGCTAACAGGTAAAATCAGACTAGGTGGTACTAGGTATTGATACAGCCCAATTCAAATTAGTAAACTGCAGAAAGCAAATAATAGGCTTCAATATCCTCTCTCCTGATAGGAGAGGATAAAAACCTTTATTGAAGCCTTCTTGTGTTTTGTGGCAATGGAACCCATTTGGTGCTTTACCTCTTAATCTCATTTAGTCTGATCCTCATAAGAACATGTATGAAGTAGTATTGTATCCTTTCTGCAAGGAGGCAAAACAAAGTGCAAAAATTAAGATAACTAAAGCAAGTCATGTGAGTATGCATCAAGGTTTTAACTGAGTTCAGGGCAACTCAAAAATGGTGTTTGCCTCCATCTCCCGTTAAAATGCTTTCAGCCTGGGGGGTGGGTGGGGGGAAAGCCTGGAGAGGTGAATTTGATCCTGTATCATTCATGTATGTCTCCAGAGGATAAAATCTAAAACAAGATTGTTACAGCAGCAGCCAAAGGACTCTAAGAGAAGTCACAGAATTATAAAACTAGTAAAATATCAACTAAGAGATTGAAAAGTAAACATTCACAATTAACTTTCAAGAAATCAACTTTCAATTAGGAAACTTCAATCATTTCCCTATAACTTTCTGAAATCTATTCATAGTACATTGCTATTTTCTTGACAACTGAGTAATCTATAATAGTTTACAGGCCAATTATTCAGAGTAGGAAATGTAAAAAAATAGACCAAATACACGCATAACACATACAGATCTACATCAAAAATGCTTTGACATAGGACATAGCACAGAAGCTATTTTTGGAATAACTCATAAAATTCCAGTACTTTAAAACATCAGCCTGTATAACAAATGACACGTAATCTATCTGACCTCATCATTTTACAACGGAATAAAAAGCCACCCAAAGAGTTTCTCTGTCCAAAAAGTAGAGAAGCAGAATCTGGTACAGGGAAATTAAAGAAGCAGAGGAAATATACTTAACTGAGGTTTCTAGATCATTAATAACTATATGCTCAAACTAAATACGACTTAAAAATAGCTTTGTGGCATGCACTATTCAGAAGTGATATAAAACCTATCACTAGAAGAGAGAGACACATACAATATGCCAGACCCTCACTGCAGTTGTACTCCTCAAATCTATTTGTATAGTCAACATAAGAGTTTTACAGCAAATGCAAACTATACCTATGTAGGTACATGACACTTGTCTCACTATTCTGCATCTAAAGCCAGGTGCGGTGGCTCACACCTGTAATCCCAGCACTCTGGGAGGCCGAGGTGGGCGAATCATGAGCTCAGGAGTTCAAGACCAGCCTGACCAACACGGTGGAACCCCATCTCTACTAAAAATACAAAAAAAAATTAGCTGGCATGGTGGCTTGCACCTGTAATCCCAGCTACCCAGGAGGCTAAGGCAGGAGAATCTCTTGAACCCAGGAAGTGGAGGTTGCAGTGAGCTGAGATTGCTCCATTGCACTCCAACCTGGGCTACAGAGCGAAACTCTGTCTCAAAAAGAAAAAAAATTCTGCATCTAAATCCTCAGTCCTCTGCTTCACTATAACTCATTTAAGGCATATCATTGTCCTCACTTCCCATATGAATAAAATTTCTCCCTCATAAACACAAGAATCTTTCCCCTATTCTAAAGTTTATCTTACTTAAACCAGTGCCACAAATAAAAATGTTCTACTATCTTACTACTTTGTGTAAAATGGTAAGATCATCCTGTAGCATTCTAGATACAATTTTTAAAAATAACTTAAGAAGAAATTTTCCCATTAAGGTTACATAAAGAACAAAAATGTAAAATAAATCATAACATCAGCAGCAACCATCAGTAGAAACTTATAGAGGCATTATATCCTCATAGTTACATCAAGGACACAAAAGCTATGTCACAGAAATACACAAAGACAATGCTGCCATCTAAAGGCCAAGATATAATATGAAAAGATGTATGTATACTCAAATACTATCAAAACAGCTTGATAGTTTAAGTCAGCAAAGTTTATATGAAAACTATGCTACCATTATTTTTAGACTATGCAATTAAACTATAATACTCCTTTTGAGAAGATTCAGTTTATTAAGAGAATTAGCAAAATAATTTGACTGATTATCAGTATTTGTCAAAGCATAGGTGAAATTCTTTTGGTATTCTTTCTGACAGTGTTCTCTGTACATACCTGTATTAGTTGCTAATTTAAAATATTTGCTGTTACATTACTAAGAATACGTGTCAAAGTAAAAACATTCTAATTACTTAAAATTGTGGCTTTGCAAGTATTTAAATATTTCTCCTTATTTCATCAATTTTAAAAATACAAACTTCCAATGGGAGGTTAGGTATCAATATCTCAATAATCCAATAAAGAGTTCAAATTATTCTAAATTTCCTTTTCTAAGAAACTTAAATGGGAAGAACTGTAGTGAATTAGCCTTTAAGACTTAGCAAAATTACCTCAAATTTCCAATGAAATGAAAATGTTTAATAAAAAAACTAAATACAAAACTGATTCCCTTCGCATTTAAGTATATAACATCTTTTTAATGTACCAAAATATTAGGAAAAAACTAATGTGAACATAACAAGAACCTTCAAAACATAAACAGTTGCTTTTTGGGGAAACCATTGGCTAAAAATTGTTTGATGTGCCAATAAAACTATTTTTTTACATTTACTCAACAAGAAAAATAAGGGTCAACAAATATCCTATTGCTCGAGAAATAGAAAACTTCTAAATTGAGATCACCATCCTTTAATTTACCTTGAATGTAAAGTGAAAACCAAAAGTTAGATAACAAATACAGTTGTGATGCCATAAAAACTACTATGTTTTACATGTCTCCTATAAGTCAGAGTTTGTACTAGACAATTTAAAAATACGGTGTCATTTAATCCTCGAAACTATAACTAGCAAATAGAGATCAATAACCTCATTTACAAATGAGGTGTAAAGAACTCAAGTAACTTTCCCAGGGTCACAATGCAAGTAAGTGAACACCAGTATTCAAAAATTCAGTGTCTCTAACACAGACCTAACTTATCTTTACAAAATCCTGCTGTCTCAAGAATGACTATTACATAATAATTATTAAATGTTATGAACCCCAAAGGGCAATAAAAAGATCTCTCCATTTTTGAAATACAACTAAAAAAGCAAGTCTTCTTTGTGGTATACTACACATTCAAGACTACCCTGACAACATTTTCAAATACAGACATGCATTGCTTAATGACAGGAAAATGTTATGAGAAATGTGTCACTAGGTAATTTTGTTGTGTGAACATCACAGAATGTACTTAAACATTCTATGAGCATACAGAAAGCCCTGGACTGTATGTTATAGCTTTTATTGCTCCTAAGCTGTCAAGCTGAACAGCATGTCACTGTACTGAATACTGTAGGCAACAATACAATGGTATTTCTGTATCTAAACATAGAAAAGGCAAAAATACAGTATAATAATCTTACAGGACCACTATTATATAAGCTGTCCACTGTTAACCCAAAAATTGTTACATGGCCCATGACTGTACGCATACTATTTTTCAATTTGAAGAACTCCTACTGGTGCCCCCTAGTGACAACTTTTTCTTTTAACTGATATGATGTACCTATCATATAAAAATGTAAATGCTTTGGAACATTATTCAGCCATAAAACATAATAAAGCTCTGATACATGGTAAACGTGAATGAGCCTTGAAAACATCATGCTAAGTGAGACACCAGAAAAAAAAGACCACGTATCACGTGATTCCATTTATACAAAATATCTAGAATAGGAAAACCCATAGAGAAAGAAAGTAAATTAGCAGTTGACAGGGACTAGAAGAAGGGTAAAATGGGGAGTGATAGCTAATGGGCACAGGATTTTTTTTTAGGGGTAATGAAAATATTCAAAAATTTGACATTGGTAATGACTGCACAACATGGTAAATATACTAAAAGCTGATGAGTTGTAGTACACTTTAAAGAGTTTTGAAATGTATTTTATGTTAATTACCTCTCAATAAAAAAATTGTAAGATTTTTTAAGCATAATACATTAAACGCGTCTGAGTTATCCATGTACATGCTTAAAATATAAAATCTATGTCATTGTCCATATTATATACTCTAAATTATTGAATCCCATTTTTTATCATACTAAGTAAAAGGTTCTATTTTACAAGAGTACATTTTTCTGGACAATAAAAAATTTCTAACTGTCTAGAATTATTATAATCCCCAGAGATACCAGAAAGAACTACAACCACAGACAAACAAATTAGATTTTTCCAATTTACCAGTGTTAGTTCACGGTCCACATTTAGAAAAGATGCATTAGCACATGCTAATGAGGGATTTTTAACATGCAGGTACCACACACAAACACCATCTATTCAGTTAAAAGATCAATTTATAAAATCATCACTTTAAAAGAATTTTTGCTTTTGATTAAGTAGTATTTGAACCATCACAAGACAATAAGCAGAAAAAAATTATAAATAAACTTGAAAGAATTCAAAGGTTAGGAACAAAATGAACAACACAAGGATGATAACAAGTACTTACTAATTTGTTTTCCTGCATGTATATTCTTTGTAATTTCAGACAGCCCTTAGCTATGACGATCATGCCTTCATCTGAGATCTTGTAACACTGGCCGAAATGAATATCTTTGAGTTCTCTGCATTTTGAGCCCAGCTGTAAACAAACAGATTTAGCTGAATGCTCAAAAAATAACAAGGCAACATCTTTCAAGTGAGATTTTCATATAATTTTTTGAAAATAACCATGTCAGAGTTAAATATTTATGTTACTTGTAAAATAAGATAGAATGTTAGCAATCCATAATTTAAAACAGTAATGTATAAACATTTTTAACCTTCTAATGTACCTTCCTGTTTCAACCAACTCATATTACAAGCCCGCCAAGGTATCTGTATTCCTTAACAGTTCAAAATTATATATTTATTACTCCAGTATTTTTTTTTAAAGACAGGGTCTCGCTGTGTTGCCCAGGCTAGAGTGCAGTGGCTCAATCATGGCTCACTACAGCCTCAACCTCCTGGGCTAAAGAGATCCTCTTACCTCAGCCTCCTGAGTAGCTGGGAGTACAGGTGTGTGCCACTACACCTGGCTACTTTTTAAATTTTGTTGTAGAGCTAGGATCTCACTATGTTGCCCAGACTAGTCTCAAACTCCTGGCCTCAATAAATCCTCCCACCTCAGCCTCCCAAAGTGCTGGGATTACAGGTGTGAGCCACTGCACCCAGCCTCTCTTGTGTCTTAATAGTGAAGAAAAAAAAAATAACACTTAAAGGAATAAATTATAACGTATTCATAAGACTGAGTATTATACAACCACTAAAATTGGAACAAACGTGACAAAAACGTATGTAAGCTGTTATAGTATAATCCAATTTTATAAAGAAATTATGCATAAATGCATACATATGTATTTGTGCACAGAAACGGGACTGAAATACATACCAAGGTGTTCACAGTGGTTAATTCTGATTAGTGCATGAGTTTTTATTCCCTTCTGCCTATGAATCTTCTCTAATTTTTTTTAACAAACATTGCTTTTATGAGAAAAAAAAACTTACAAGTTCTGTCTCAAGTAAAGTAATGACATCAGAAATACATGTGAGTTCAGTTACTTTTCCAGAGGTGGTGATAGATATAAACTATATTATTATAATCTAGGCTGCACTACTACCAATAACATATTCCTACAGAAATGTAAACTCCGTGAAGCCAGCAGATTGTCTATTTTATTAAATAAGGTATCTCTGGTGCCCGGTATCTTACACTTAGTTGACACTTAATAAATATTTGTTAAATGAATGAAAAGGCTGATCAGGATTATGTACTATAAAGAAGCTCATTTTAAGTGGGCAAATACAGGAAACTATGATTGTAGCCTCATACACTACTAAGTTCCACAGTTAATTCATGGGTTCTAACTGGCCCATGGAGAGAATTCAGGGGTTTCAGGAAAGCAGATTTTTTTAAAGTACATGTTCATTTTTTATGTTATCCTCCAACTGAACTTTAGCCTTTCCTTATTATATGAAAAACGCTGCAGTAGCTTAGCAATACCTGAGACTTTGTAAGCAATAGAATCAAAGATTACTTCATATATCACTGTTGCAGATACCTTGAAATATTTTTCATTAGTATTCATCATGCTCATTAGATATCAGATTTGTATTGAATTCATTAAAAGAGGCATATATATTTCTACAACAAATGTACAATGGCATGTCACTATACCTAAGCAAACTAAATCCAAAGCCAACAGTGGGAAAAGCAAAGAAGTCTACTAAAGAACTCGCAACAGACTCACATATGTCTGGCAGTGAGGCTGAGGTTGGGGCTAAAAATACTAGAATTCTTGAAAGTCTGCTGAAAAAGTAGTTAAATCCTCAGATCACCTCCCCATTACTGCACAGTCTGACCTTGCCTTTTTTCCCACAATGCCAAAAAAATGTAATCTCTGGGGAGAGCAAAACCTAGGGTTTTTAGACTGGGGTATACCACATATAGCTGAGAACCAAAGCACAATGGGGAAAATATGGGGATTTGTGAAAGTTTATTCAGTGAAAACAGAGGAATTCAAAGAAATATTTCTATCCAATTTTCCAGAATGAAAGGGTATCAACTTCCAGACTGAAAGAGCTTATCCATGTGTCCAGCACAAATAACAAAAACAGACACACTGCAATGCAAATCATCATAAAGTTTCAGAAACACGAGTTTAAAGAGATTCTACAGACTTAGAGAGATAAACTTTATAGAAAGGATTAGGATGAAAATGCATCAAACTTCTTAACAAAACTAAAAGAAAGCAACAGTCCAATGCCATCAAATTCTGAAGATAAATTATTTCTAACCTAGAATTCTGTGCTCGGGATTCAGACTATGAATTAAGTGTGAAAGTAGAATTAGAGATGTTTTCAGACATACAAGTTATCAAAAGATTTACCTCCCATATACACTGTATCGGGAAGGTATTAGAATCTGTGCTCTATAAAACACGAGAATACACCAAGGGAAAGAAAACATGACATCTGGGTAACAGAAGATCTAACCCAATAGCAAGAGAATGGAAATCTTAAGGATAACGGTGGTAAGATACTAAGATGACCACTAATGCAATCACACTTGTATATGAGAAGTCCAGACTAGACTATCCCAGGCAAATCTGCTTTAGGGCAGTAAATGTAACGAAGTATTCACATATAGACATACTAATGCAACTGGAGGAAAGCTTTGGTCTTCATTAGTGTTAAGAGTATAAAAACTAGGTAAAGAAATAAAAAGACATTTATTAATTGCAATGAAAACAAAATGCTTTAGAGAAAAAAAGATAGGTACATAATTATAGAATGTAAATACTGAATACTTATTTAACAAAAATTATAATAGAATTATGTTAGAAGGATGAGAGGATAACACACAGGGAAAGAAGTATAAGTGAGCTAAATCCTTACCTTCGATAGCAAGGAATCAGCAATAAACAGTCAAAAGTGAATACGTTTTTTAAAAAATACAAACAGACATGGCAGGGGAAAATGTTTTCTCATTCTGTAGGAAGCCAAACTAGTCTGATTCCCAGTCTCTCCACTGATTATTCTGTATGTAATAAACTGGATATTTTCAGCTCGTATGTATACTTCTTCCCCTTGTGAATAAACTGCACACAGGGAGCAAGCAATCTTTACTTCTCCATTTGGGGCCACTCTGCTGGTTAGCCTAGTCAATGACTAGTCAGTTAGCCAAACTCCAGAGTCAGGTTAACAATCCCATTTAGCACTGTTTGTAAGCAATATTCTCCACCTTAGATTTTCTGAGTGCTAAAGCTGACATCTTGCTCCTCCATCACTATTTGTCATACTTACCAATTTGATAACATCCTGTACAGTGAATAGGAGGCCCCATGAGACCTCAACAGTTAGTACACCAGCTAGAAACATGGAGAAATAAAGGAACAGAATCTATATATTAACAGAAGGAATAAGTGTGGTTTTTGGTGAAGTCTCAGACATCAATGCGTGTGGACAAGTTGGTAGAGCTTCAAGTTAAGACCCGTAAATCACAGCGCCGCAGACTGGTAAAATAATTTAAACCGACTACATGGTGTTTTGACATTGAAAAGTAGCTTTGGTGGCTTTATCTATAAGGAAATGACTTTTCATAGAGGCCACATGGATAACCACACAAAGATGAGAACCACGTGGATGGCATATGTAGAAATTACCAGCATGTGAGGTAAAGTTAGATATGAGGAAAAGTGCCTCACAGGAGAAGCTATTATGATTTACTACTACTGAGTAAAACTATCATTTATTCTCACTGCAGAAACTGACACTCTGTTTCAGACATCACTGGATATAACCAGCAAGACCGGACCTAAATCAGTGCCTATCTGCACTAAACACCATTACACCATCCATAAATGTCCTAAGTTCCAGACTATCCCAGCATTGTAAAGTCAGTCATTATAACTGATAAACTTACAATTTGGCTGACAGTCTTTAAATTTCTCAATGTTGTATTTGTCTATGACCCACAGAAAAACATTCAGAGGGCATCAACTAAACCCTACAAAAGCATAACCATTAGGATGCCTTAAATCTAGCACAATTAGTACTCTATCTAAAAACCATAGAAATAGAATACAAGTCGTCTTCTTTTGGAGATGGAGTTTTGCTCTTTCGCCCAGGCTGGAGTGCAGTGGCGCGATCTCAGCTCACTGCAACCTCTGCCTTCCAGTTTCAAGCAGTTCTCCTGCCTCAGCCTCCCAAGTAGCTGGGACTACAAGCGCCCCAGCTAATTTTTGTATTTTTAGTAGAGACAGGGTTTCACTATGTTGGCCAGGCTGGTCTCAAACCCCTGACCTCATGATCCACCTAACTCAGCCTCCCAAAGTGATGGGATTACAGGCGTGAGGCACTGCGCCTAGCCGAATACAACTTTTTTAAGTAAAAAATTATCTATCCAGGAAGAAAGTGCTAGAGACACTGGAACTCTACCCTGTCAAAAGGGAGAAATCCTCGTAAGTGCCCTGGCGTCCAGCTGAGACACCAAAAAGATGGTACCTTGGGAGCAAGAACTATGCCTAGAGTAAGGCCTATTCTAGACCATCCAAGTTAGAGGGATTTGGGAAATATCTTGGGCTTTCCACATAATAAAGCATAAAACTGAACATAAACAAGATAAGGATGATCATTCAGTAACTATAATGCTTGCTTTAAAAGAAAAGATTTCTGGTTTTCAGTCTGGCATGTAAGGAGTTTAGAAGTTGCCACTCTGCTCTAAAAAATAAAAAGCTAAACACACTGAAAAATTAACAATTCTTTTTAGATCCATCAGAGAAATGAAGACACAGACCAAATCACTGCCACAAAACTGCAGAGACAGGCAGATACAGAGAACAACTACTCACCAGAAGAGAAACTACTACCAGAAACCTTAGCAGGAACCAGGACTAGAGTAGGAAAATCTAAACTCTGCATTTGCCAAAATACTTGAGGCACAGCATGGATAAGTCTGATAATTAAAAATTCCAGGGGGACCTAGTTATAAGACAATACTCATGCTTTTGTGAGTTTTATCTACAGGAGCTCTACCAGGTCTTCACGGTGAATACTGGAGAAATCACCTCATGCATACAACAGTGAGAGGACAAAAGTAAC